AAAATTTCAAAGAGGGAAAGATTACACAGTGTAGAACCTATTAAGTGGGAAGAAGTTGAAGAGATTCATCATTCCCCTCAGTATTCTTAGGAGCCGACCTGTCCTTTAATTGAAGTTACCATATCCCACTCTGAAGAGTTTCTTTTCTTGAGAGAAAAGAGTGGCTGTGGCAGTGCCAAGCTTCTCAGGAGAGACAGCTTAATAAGAATATAAAAAATGCTGCCCTCCTTTCCTGCACATAAAGGTCTTCTTATTTTTTTCTTTGATTTTGACTCAACATAACTTCTCTACTTTAAAGAAATAAAGTAGGCTTCACTGGAGGAAAACACAGAAAAACTTAGAAATATGTGTTTCAGATATCAGCAAAGGTTTAAAAACAGAAATCAGAGCAAAGCTTTGCCAAGTTGGATGTTTGGTGTGGGTTTTCTTTTTTCCTTTTTTAAAATCGTGGTTTAGCAGATCCCTAAGCACACTTTTAGAAACAGCATATCTGTGAATTTTAAGCATACAAATGAATTAATCTCCTCCCCGTTTTGCTACGTGGAATTTAGAAACAAACAGACTTCATAAAGAATGACAATTGCATGGATCTGGATTGGTTGTAGACATTTTAATATTAATTTTAAACACAACGTATCTTTCTCTTCTCCCACCCTCCACCCCAAAGACCATTTTGGTTAAGCATGGAAGGCATCATGGAATATAAATGATCAGCAGAACAGCTAGAAATTAGACTAAACATTTAAGGACGTGAAAGCAAGAGTTGGAAGAGAAGTAAGGCAGCAGATCAGACATTTAACCAAGGAAATATTTTGTTTATCCATCATTTCTTGCAACTAAGCAGCAGATTGCTTGCTGTACTTTTCTAATGAAAATACGCAAAAGATAAACATAATCTATAGGTACTGCATGGTTTTGAGTTAGTGTGCTGCCTATAGCAAATCCAGCTCACTCTCTATTATTGCTGCATGGCCCTCTCATATTGACCAATAAAGCTTAAAACTATCCATGGAATTCCCAGAGAGTTTGAAAATCAAATGAGAAAGTAGAGAACTGAAATACATCAGGTGAAGACTTCTAAATTACAGTTTCTTTGCTTGACTTCCATCACAACTCCATGAAAATACTAAAGCCATTGTGTAGACTGCGGTAGACCAAAATGTTCCTTTCTGGTTTGTTTTGTTTTTTGAAATTTTCTTTAAAGTAGTATATTTTTTCTTTCAGGGTAGTCCCATCAGCATAATGTCTTTGTTGGAGGGTAAAAGAATATGAATAATACACACAAAAATCCTAAACCTACAGAGCTCAAGGTCCATAAAGAACTCCCTATGACATCTGTCCTCCTCTACTTAAACCCACACACTTATCTTTTGTAGCTTTACATTTCCCTGCCTACAGGGTTTGCTCAGGGATCCTGACCCAGCACCCAGGCCTGTCTCCTGCCTATGTCAGGCAGAGGTCCCAGCAGTTCTCATCTTGGCAAACCTCTCCATCTCTCAGCCACTCCAAGGGCAAGGTGGAAGGGAGGTCACTTTTAAGCTGTAGATTTGGCTCCCTGCTCTGCCCGAATTCCCATCCATGAGACGTAATCAAAAGCTGAGCTCCTACAGCTGCTCTCACATGCACCCCAGTGACACCAGCAACTCCCAGGCAAAGTTCCAGTTGCATACTGGAAGCAACGTTGGATGAAACAGCAGCAACCCCTCAAGTACTTCCTTGTCCTAATAGCTTAGAGAAAAGCTTAGTCCTGAGCAGCATCCTTTAACATGACCCTCTCCAGACACAGCTGACTGCCCCAGCACTTGGTAGAACAGCCTAAAGCCCACATTAGTATTTCTTTACCAGCCAGAATCCTTGTGCGCACATCTGCAGTCCCCTGGGAATAGGGCAACATCTAATTAAAGCAGATGGTCAGTGAAAATCGAAAGGTCAGGATTGAGGGTGCTGACAGAACCTCAGCTTCAAGCGTCCATCTAAATTACCAGCCACAGAAACCAACCCATACATACAAATCCAAACTGCAGCAATCTTTGCTTAAATTAAAAATGGTCTTTTTCAACTTATTCCTCCCCTTTTTCTCACACAAATATTTTTTTTTAAGAAGATGTACCAGTAAGTCAAGACAACTAGGACTAAACTGTTCTAACCACGAACCCTGGGGAACAGGTGTAGCGCACAGCTTCGCCATACATTTCCTTTTGTTTCTCATGGTTTTGGCTCAATTACATTTGTTCTTTTATTACAGGCTTATTTCATCCTTTCCTTTCCATAGGAAAATAAAAAGGTACCCAGCATTTAGCTTCATAGATCTGGAAACTATGCAGCAGAAATGCTGACTCATGAACATACATTTTCTTTTTTACTTGAAGCAAACAAATTAAATACCGCTGCCTCTGCTCTACAGCAAAAACCCAAATAAACTGAAAGAGAGTAAAACTGCGTTAGGCTATAACATGCTAATATCCTTTCAAGATTCAGCCAAGCCTTTCTACACCCAAGTGCTAGCCCTATTCTTCTCTCAATTTGTGTTGTTTAAGTGCTTAAGGATGTTTGCATATTTGCTAGATCGGGTGAAATAAACTAATTAGAGAGGAACAAAGCAATTTAGGAATTGCCGGGTGTGTGAGAGGCAGCTTGAGGGGAAACTCTGAATTCAGAATATGCCCATTAAATTGACTGTCGCACAGCTCTGTAACTACAACTAACTACAACTCAACTAAATGAAAAGCTGGATTTTCTTTTTTTTTTTTTTTGACAGTGATTTTTTTTTCAGGTTTGTATTATATTGTACATTTCTTGCCTGCCTTTCTGAAACATTTCCTGCTCCCGACCCTAACCTTGCATAAAATGAAAAGTCACTAAGGGTTTAAAATAACGTCTTTCTTCCCCCGCTACTCTTACAGCCAAAGACAAGTTAAAAGGCTGAAATATTTTGATGCTTGTATATCATAAGCCTTTCAGTACAAATACTTTTAATTTCCCAAGGGCTGACTTTCCTATCAAAGACTTCACATCTAACGTTGTTTTTTTCAAAAAGCCCCAATCAGCAGCAAACAAGTCAAATTGTCCGTGTTCACCAAAGAAAAGGAATACAAAAGCTGAAGAGATTTTATTGGCAGTCCTGCTGAGGTAAGAAAGGTGACACAGGATAAAATAAAAAAAGACTTGCACTTCATAATGGTTTGGAGGTGAATTCATACCCTTCCTTCATGGCTCTCTGATATCAGTTAACTATCTGAGGAAAGAACAGGCTGATGTTCTGACACATTACAAAAATAGAAATGTAATACCTAATTTTAAGATGGGTACTCAGAACATATTAAAGGGTTATGTTCAAAGCACGTAACAGCTCTGAAGTGAAGGAGAACAATGCTGACACCAAGTGGAAGAAAACACTGCCGGCTCCATCCTCCACTGCAACCATTGAGATGCCTGAAAATCTTAAGAGTCGCAAGTCTTAGGGCTGGGTGTTGTGGGAAATGTTTTAAACATCAGAGGAAGACCACACAGATCCTCTGAAAGCAGAGATCTGTGTTTTCCTAATGAGTACACCAGCTGATTAATTACAATCCTCTTCCTTGTAGTGTAGCTGATGTCAGTAAGCAAAGCAACTGGCTGCCACTCTGAACACATCAGGTATTGCTCCCCTTCACAAACTGCAGATAAACCTCCTTAATCTGTAATCTACACAAGTTCTGTGAGTCTGGATATGGTGGGAGCTTTATGCTCTATTCTCAGCCACACTGAAAAATGGGCATTCACAGACTGAGAAACAACCAAGAAAAGTCTCCACCAAGTTAGTTTCTGTACCCTTAGTGCCTTCAAAGCTATTTTTCCAAGCCAGGAAAGGCCTGTATCAGTGACCAATTTTAGAAACACCTTCCCCTCTCACACACTTAATATTCTTATCAAAGAACAGACAGTGATGGGTGTAATCAGCCAGGGCGAGTGCCCGAGCTCTGTTCTTGCACTATTGATGGCAGTAAAAATCTCAGCACTTCAGTTTGACCAGCTTCTCTCCTCTGTACTCAAGCTGCTTGTTACAGTAAAGCACAGCCAGTGGTGTGACAGAGCACACCCTCTCCTGCCAAGCTTCTCTCCTAGTGCAGCCGTCCCCAGAGAGGAAAAAGAAAAATAAAGACAAAGAAAAAAAAATAGAAAAAGAAAAAAAATTCTACATATATGGGAAGGGAGCAGAGAGAAACACAGACAGCAGCAAAACCCACTTGTGGGATTGAAGGGTGACTGCAGTGTCCCAGAGCACTTGCACAGCAAGTCAAGAGGAACCCCCAGCACTGCTGGAGCAAACATTACATCAGTGACACTTCCTCCACACCCTGCAGTTCACCAAAAAATGGAGACCAGGCACACTTGTTGTTTCCAAGTGGAAAACCAGCACAAAGGAAAGGCTGCTGTGGATCCCAGGCACAGCACAGGACAGGACTTCACTTGCTCCATGCCCTATTCCCTCCACCCACAGGCAGACAGGTCTGGCACTGAAGACCCAAAAGGAGTAATGAGTACTCCAGCCACATGCATCCGGGCTGTTCTAAGTCAAACTTAATTAGGCTAGAGCAATTTTTATCAAATCCTTATGCCTACATATTCTGCACTGCTTTTCCAGAAGAAAAAACCCACATCCTTACAATCTGTTGGCCGCAATGTTTTTGTGGGGATATATGTCCTACTTTGATCTCCATGTATGGCATTTTTCATCCAGTCTTCTGGTTTGCTCAGTACTCAAATAAAAAATTGAAATGTAATTTTTAGTGAGTCCATGTTTTACCAAATTTACAAAGATTAGGGAAAATAGACTTTCCGTGCAATGGGAAATATTATGAAGAAATCTTCCTATAATGTAACAGCAATCCCTGTGTAAAAATTGACAAATCTCCTGGCAGTTCACATGGTACCTGCGGGATTTGCTATGTTCATATATAAAGCCAATTAAATATACCATTGTTAAGTAAAGAACTTAAATAAAACAAAGTAATCCATACCTCTACCGCTTCAAATTTAGGAAAAAATTTGTTGAGAGCCACAGATAGGAATTGGAACTGTTTTCCCCTATCCAGAAAAAAATTATTTTGACAAGATAATTTAGTCTAACCTGGAAACTTCAGATCATGAGAAAGTATCTGTTTGTCTGGTTGCTCATTTGTTCTGAAAGGTTTCAGCTACTTCAACAAGCATTGTCACGGGATTAGCAAAGTAAAACATCAGTTAAATTATTACTGTCCTCCAAAGTGAGGAGATTCCATTTAGGAGACCATAATTCTCTTTTACGGCACCTTCAGATGAGAGTGAGGCACCACATTTTTTTCACAGAACAGATTTAATGCTGAAACATCCATATCCTCTTTGAAAAAGGCTAAAACCACAAATTTAACAGAACTCTCCAGACCACAAAAGCCTTCCCAATAAAACCATAATTTGAGTAGATAAAGTATCCATGAAATATTTATTTTCACTCTTCTGGCCAGCTCCAAACCACACTGCAGTTTTAGAATTTCATTCTGAGATGTCTGTGGTCAACCTGCAGGTCCAGGATGCTGTCCAGCTCCACTTCCCCATCCCCTGGATCTCTGCAATCCCTTTATAATGGGGTTCTATGGATTATAATGAGAAGCCACGTGGGACCCAATCAATAGGCAATCCCTGCAGCCTTGCTGATACACAGTAAAGCATGATAAAAGGACAAAGGAAGGGAAGAAAACAAGAAATGAGACTCCTTTCCTCAGGGTGGAGGCATTTCTTCTAACCAAACCCATACTTTAATGGAGATACAGGCAGTGGCTTGTACACACCCATAAAGTCATGCTTCTCTTTGTTTGCAAGACAAAGGTAGCAAGGATAATTCAGGAAGGAAGGATTTATCTGTGACTTTTGTACAAAAGGAAGACAGGGAAAAACACTCTTGTACTGGATGCAAAAAAAAAAAAAGAAAAAATCCATAGGCAACTTCTATTTAGAGTTTAAAATTCAGAAACAATGAGGGCAAACAGCATGACAAATTGCTATTAGCAAGGTTTGCTTCATAATTAAATTACTCTATAGAAGTTAAGATTATCTGGTACACCTCCAACACAGCCAGTGATATGCCTTGGGTTAAAACACAGTTATCCAGAGAGGCCTCAGGTCAAAACAAACACCACAGGGTCTAACCTCTTTTTAAAGAAGTATTTAATCCAAATAGGAAAATCAGTTTAGTACCAGTGCAGTTTGTGAGCTAAGACAGAAGGTTATAGGACAGCTCTAAAAATTAGTGAATTCTCTGGTGGGAAAATTTTTTTTAAAGTAAAATAAAAAAAAAAAAAAATTAAAAATGAAATAAAATTTATTAAGAGAACACACACACAAAACCCCCTCCTGGGGTACAGAATTCTGACTCTGTTTTCATGAAAAAAAAATGTACAACATACAATGGCCAGAAAAAAGGACAAGTTAAAATATACATCATAGCCTGGATATAACTTTTAAATCACTATCTTTATATGGAATAGGTGCCTGTGAATAATCTACTGTACAGCCTAGGGTAATAGCTCTGAACTATTAAAATGGTACCTTTCAAAAACTTGCAAATTCATCTCCCAGTCTGTCAGTCTGATCAGCCTGCAGACACAGAGTAAGTGGGATGACTCCTGGTGCTTTGAGATACCAAGAACTCTGCTCAGAACAATCAATCTGCCCACCTCAGCCTACAAACAACACAGCCTGTGTCAGCTGCATGGCATCCCTGCCAGATTGGCATGGCTTTAATTTGTCAGAGCTCAATTAATTAGGTTAACTTAAAATGTTGAAACAAAAAAAAAAATAGAAAAAAGGCACCCCAACAGCAACAAAATTACAGGAATTAAGTCAAGTATCTGTGTCAAAGCCAGTAAAAGCAAGTTTCATTTCCAGGACACAACAAGGGATCAGAGCCAGGTTTGCCATTTCAGTTTTTGCTTTCTTTGCTGGAACGAAAACACACACTCTTAAAATGTTTGGTTTGTAAACCTAACTTTGATGTTTCCAGTTCAATGGACTTTGAGCAATTGTTATATTATGAAAGATGAAGGGTACCTATCCAATGTGCTGGGTTTCCTGCCAGAAATTACAAAAACAAGACCAGCCACAGAATACTGAGCTCCCTTCTCACCCACAGCTGGGATTTTTTTCATAAGCTTACCTCAGAGCAGGAGAGTGCCCCATGGCTATGCTTTGTCTGAGGTTTTATTAAAGAGCTTGAGAGGATCTTTTCAGCAGAAGTCTTTCCCACATCACCACAATCCCAGACAGACTATGACATTTTGCAGAATTACAGGGAGTGGAGTTGGTTCTAGAACAAAAGCACTGCAACAGAAAGCCAGGTTTCCTGGCTTCTCTAATACATTCCCAATTTCTTTTAGCTGCTGATGCTTCTTCTAGCTTTGCAAACAGAAGCTAAATTTTGATTTTATTTGCTCATTTGGATACAGATTGCAGAAATTCTCAAAGGTGGTAGTGACACGGGACTTCTTCAGAGAGAAAGAGGAGCTGGGGGCAGGGGCTCCAACACCATCTCAGTGTGAAACCATCTCCCTGTTTTAGAGATGGGGACATGGCATGGCAGCAATACTGTAGAAACATCCTTGTACCAGAGTATTCTGTTCTTTATACCTACCTCTGGACAGGTTTTATTTTAAAAGAAAGCTTCCAAGGAGCATTAGTGTCTCAATATTCTGCTTGGGATATACAATATGTTCTAAATACTGAATTTGACTTTGTATTTGAAGTTTGATGGTTTTTCTTAACAGAGATACTCAGAGAAAGAAGACAGAAAATTAAGGAGTCATAAACACAAGCAGCAGCATCTACATTTACATACAATGGAAATCTCTTCCATAGTCCATCACTTTTCCTGGCACACTGTTACCAGTCTGGCCATGAGCCACAAGGATGTGTGGGAACTGCATGTCTTTTTCTAAAAGTCGATTTCAAGTTAAGCAGCAATGACACATCATATCACAAACTGAAAATAAGATTTATATTGACCCTCTCCCTAAACCAGCCTTTGTCTATCATGTTTTCTCCACCAGGAGTTTTTGACAGAGGCAAAAAAATGAATCGAAGTACTAACAACGTTTTACAACAGAAAGTGCCCAAGGAGAAGCTGAAACACACACAGTGACTTCTAAAAAGGGACAGAGAGGTTTCCAACCTTCTGGTTTTGCTTTTCTGCATCACCAATGTATAGACAAACATATATGCAAAATGAAAAGTGCTTCACTCAAGGAAAAAAGTCCAGTGGCTTTGATCTAACAAAGCTTGGCATTAACACATTTAAAGTGGAAACAACTTCAAATTTTATTGTTTAGCTTTTGCATTTGAAATTTTTCAAAAATCAAAATCTTAAATACTCATGTTTCCTCTCTGGCTTAGGTATATCATGAATATTTACATTGCTGGGAACAAGCTACAGTCTTTACTTACACTAAGGATAAGCAAATATATTTCCATGTGTAGGTTCCAACATAATGAAGTGCTTGATTACTTGCTGAATTGATTACTGTGACTTTCTTACCTGAAGGCCATCTGCTTGTCTCTGTGAGAAACAAGGGTTCAGGTCAACAAAAAGCATCTCATGGTGTTGAAGCAGATACAGCAGGAGGCCATTGTAAAGCCTTTGCTCTTCACAAGCCAAGGGACTGACAGGGACCCTAAGGGAAGAGGAGGTGGATTAAGTTTAGGAGCTCTCAGATCAGGGGCTAATCATGAGTCACACAGGGAGCCCTCCCAGGGCCCAAGATAATTCAGCAAAGCAGCCAGCTGAGTGACTGGATAAAAACGGAGTTCCCCATTTCTAACAAGCAGTTGTTGGGACAGGGACGAACAGTTTGGTGGGTTCACAAGACTGGGACCTTCGCAGTGTCAGAGCTCCAGTTTGCTGATCCACAACACAACGAGTCTTTGTGGCAGCACAGCAGAACCTGACAGCAACTCAGAATCGAGGTTCAGACACTCAAGGATTTGATTTCTCCTGTTGAGAATGGGAGAAAAAGCCCCAGAAATCTGCCAGCACTCACTGACACTGGGCTGAAGAGAGTAGTTTTGTTCTAGCTTAGCTTATGAAGGTGAACTCTGATCACTGGAATGTCTTATTACCAAAAATGCCTGGAAAAAAAACCCATAGGTAACAAACTGCTTCAGTGTGTTAATTTATAAATCCACAGACATCAAGCACATCATGCAGGGAAACTTGCAGATGCTCCCATTAACAGGTTGATTTTGGTTTTTTTTCTCTTTATTTCTTGCTTTCCCCACATATTTATTTTTAAAAAATAAATAATAGTTGAACTTGTGGTATCCATGCTAAATTGGAATAAATTAAAGTCAAGGGATTCTTTGTATAGGATTCTAATCTCATTCCCTGAAGGACCTGTGTATTCCCCCTGTGAACTATTGGGAAGCTTCAAGAACATTTACATAAATGCTATCTATGGCCTTCTCCAGCCACGCTGCACCAACTCAGTTCCACCCAGCACAGTATTAATATTTAAACAAGACATTCATAAACTCTGGAGACTAATGTGGAACATGAACACACCAGTCTTCTCTTTGCCAAATCAGTACATTCATTATTCATTTGCAATTTTAAAGTGCAAACATACACACTGGGCCCAGTCCAATTGCTTTCATTCATGTTCCTCTTTTGTAAACTTACTGTTGTTTCTGTAAGAACTTGAGTCCAGGCTCCTTTTGAAAGAAGATGGTTTAAACAGAGTTATAGTTGCTTTATGGTGAACTTGCCACCGGCTGCCGCAAGAGAGGAGCCCCGAAGAGAAGATACAAGGACTCCCTGAAACAACATCTCAGCCTTGGCCATATTGATCACCAGAACTGGTCTACTCTGGCCTCCAACTGGGAGACCTGGAGACACACCATCTATAACGCTGCTGATGCCTTTGAGAACGCACACAGGATCACCCTTGAGGAGAAAAGACAACGCAGAAGGAACCGTGCCTCGCAGAATATACAACCTAAGGAGTCTTTCTGCTGTGCCTTTTGCAACTGGACATGCCTGTCTCATATCAGTCTTTTCAGCCACCAACGCGTTTGCAACGAACGTGGGTAGAGCCCTTCCCAAATCTTCGTTCATGAAGCCCAGCCATGAGCCAGGTAAAATGTAGACAGATTTACAGGATAAACTACTGTGTCATCACTTTCTTTAGGGTCGGTTAACATTTTTCTTTTGTGAATTCCTATTTTTCCTGGGAGAGACTCAGTTTCTCCACAAAAAGCAAGGCTGCATGTGAACATGTAAACCATAGTTGACTGAGCAACAGCCTTTCCTGCATACAGCAATCCTAGGAGATTGTTCATTGCTCACCCAACATTAATACCCTCAACTCACAGGCCATAGAAGCAATACTTTTCATCCTTCGTCTTCTTTTTCAACTTTTTTCTTTATATTAGACACCTGTTCCCAAATCCACTTCTACCAGTTCTTAACACCAATACTGCACAAGCTATCCATGAAGATAAACAGCTCTCACACCACTTACTGAGTCCCACTTTCCCTTACCAGCAGCCTGTGTTTTGGGTGCCCAGTTCTCCTTTCATCTTAAAACAAATCCAAGCTATAGACTGGGATAAGCCCCTGCAGCTGACTCCAATATCAATGTCTCATCAGCAGATATTCACGGGTGGCAACAGGTGTGTACTCCAAATATAGAGAATACATTTTTAGTTTTCTCTGCAGCCACCTTCCACAAAGACTTTTAATTAATTTTGTAAAATAGTCACTTCCCACGTGTTCAGATACTTCTGCCACTAGCAGAAACTCTATTAACTGGCTGACAGCAGGGGAATTAGGTTCAGACACTGCTAAATCCAGGAATATGGTTCCTAGAAGAAAATCTAGGAAGAGCACAGCTCCTGAAATATATTCTGCATCCACTATAAAAGCCCTGTAATCAGTTATAGTGAAAATCAAACACAAGAGAACATTCACTACAAATAAGGAACAAGTAAAACTCGATCATCAGGAATCAGCTCTTTTCAAAGTTCTTTGCCACGAAGTGCAAGCTAAAAAATCCACGCAGTCCCTTGCCTTGGCTGTGCCCAGGAGATCTGCCAAGGTTCCCTGCCAGCAGAGGCTTGCTGCAAATTTACAGAAACAATGAGTCAAAGTGAGCAGCAGCAAACAGCTGGCTGGCTAACATGCTTGTGCACTCCTGCAAGGCTTACTTACTGAGGTTAGTACCAAAAATCTCTTTACCAAGCTGAAGCAAAACGAAATATTCATAGAAATCGAAGGAACATCAGTTGCATCTCTGACGGAAGTGTGGCAACACGTTTTCCTAGGCATTCCCAGAGACTAGGGGAACACAAAACAGTTCACAAGGAGGATGAGTGGCAACAGAAAGAAATAGTTCGGAGAACGAGCAGAAAGAATTCAACAGCAGAAGTTAAGAGAAGGGTGGAGATAAGCAAAGTCCAGGGAGTAGCCAGCCTGAGACCTGACCTGCAAGTTATGCTTCTGGTTCCCTTACCTACAAAGGGACAAGGACACAAAAGCTGCATCATGCACATGTTAAGACTGAGTCACAAAAGATCCATAACAGATTCCAGGGTCTAAAATCTAAAAGCAAAGCCACACTAACAGTGATGGTGAAGCAATTTAAGAGCAGTGAAGATAGCTTAACTCAGTCTCATGGGGAAAAAAAAAATAACATGAGGGAGGAAGGCCCATAGAAGAAATAAGAAGGATCTGTTTTCAAAGATTAAGGTAAAACTAAAACATTTTACTTAGTTATGTTTTTTCCTGAAACATACCTTCTTTTCATATATTCCCTCTCTGGGTTCCATCACCCTGAACAGGGAGATACATACTAATAATACAGTAGAATTCTTCCAATGTTAATCTGATTTCAGTCAAATATTGAATGTAAGTAGCATTAAAGTAAGGGGCTGCAACAGATTAAAAATAGATAAGAGGCAGCTTATTTAACATTCAGTTTCACACAAACAGTGATATCAGTTTCCTAGCATTTAAAATCCACGATGAAATTTTCCATGACCCTGTAACTAGACTTTCAATATAAAACCTGTGTTAAGGCTTATATTTTTTTCTGTTGCAATTGCCATAGCTACTAATTCTGAGGTATATGCAGTTTAGGCTTGCAAGGTACAATGAGCAGCACGTTTAATATTCTACTTCTGTGTCCCCAAGGCCCATATGTGTCCACGTTCCAACTACTGAATATTCCTACTCGGTCACTTCAGTGAAACTATAAGCATGACAGGTCTCCACAAATAAAAGTGTCAAAAGATTGAGACAGGTGATAATCCCAGACAGAATTTACACTTGAATATAAATAGATAAGAAATTTAAAGTAAGAAGGCTTATAAACAACCCAGTTCAGTTGTTCAATGTCAAAGAAGGAAGAAGAAATTGCACAAAAATGCAGATTGCCAGAATACGTGCAGAATATTTTTAACACCTGCAGTGAATTAGTGCCATAAGTGGAGCTGACATTACATCCAGGAGGTTAATTCCAGCAACTGAATGGAGCATATATTTCTGCAGATTAGATCTAGAGTTGGTTTTTTCATAACCTTCACGTTTTGACTGAGCAATTATAGCGAGCACTACCCAACGTGTCTCAGTTTCCAGTGCAGCTACACTCTGGCTGCCAAATGTTTCATAATGTGGCAGATAATTGCACTAATTCTGGCTCTGAAAGACATAAAGGATATTTATGACTTTTTCCCCTGTGTCAGCAGATATGATTTGCCACAGCTGTCTACCTTGAATTTTGCTGCTCTACAGGACAATACAAATGATTTATTCTGAATCACTGAAGGCCTCAGGTCACTCAGCAGGAAGTGGCACAGCAATCTCACCGAGAGAAAATGCCAGTTGCAAAGCTCTTGTCTCCACCCGACTACCAAAAAGGTGATTTTTCATAATCCCAGGCGGTAACTCTCCAAGGACAGAATCAGCTAAACACTTCACAAAAAAGGAGCTCCAGAATTACTGGTTTCTCTCCCAGAGCTGGTGAGATCAGAATGACTGTAAAAGCTGAAGATAACATTTATAAGGAAGACATATTTCTATTTGTAGCTGTTGTCTTGACAAGTCAGTAGCAGGGAAACCCAACTCTGATTGCTTTCAAGGCTTCTCAGACAGGTCATTGCCACAAATACTTTGTTTAGCACTGAGGGTACTTTAAAAACTAGACAGAGGGACATCTTCAGAAGTAGCTAGACCATGTCCCAGAACAGTGGGACATTTAAAAACTGAAGCAGCTCAACAGTCAATAAGGGAGCATACTGGATTCTCATGTGTAGGTCAGTGGGCACACATTCAGAAAACCTGGGAGTGGAAATAAAGGAATTAAGTCTTCTTGCATGTGTGTGCATGCACAGAAGCCTCAGGTGATAGCAAAGGTCTCCTGATGGCAGAAGAGTGACAGTCAGTGAAGTCCTCTTTGAGTTAGTGTAGGGGTCAAGGGATAGACTTCTGGCGAAGGCCTTTTAGCATCAGCCTTTTACCTGTTCATAAGTATCACCACACAACTAATCCAGACACTGAAAATAAACCTCATCTATCTACTCTTATTTACTAACTAGCATGCAGAGATTAAGGAACTTGGGGTTTGATTGCAAAACTGCCTTGTCCCATCAGCAAATACCCTCCATGGTGAAGCCTCCTCTCACAGGAGCAAATGGCATAACTCCCACCACATCGCATGTTAGATTTGTCTCCGTGGCTGTACTTTCACTAAAGATATAAACTTATATCACCTGCAAAGGTCATATGTTGGTACACCTGGCAATAAACCCACAGAGCAGGTAAGCAGACACTAAACATAGAGACCTATGAAACAGCAGCAAAAGTACAGTTCCCCAAAACAAAGTCTGTCATTGACTGGTGCAAATTTTGCTGAATATATACTTTTAAAATGAACTTGGCTTGCCACATACATGAAAAAAAAAAAGGTGAATAAGGCTTTTTTTTTTTGCATAGAAGATCCTAATTGCTAACACATACATTTTGTAAAGTGGCGCAGGCTCATAGTTCACATTAAGCTTGACATGGCTATGATCCACTAAAACAAAGGTTTACAAATGGTAACAGGTATAAATATTTTAACATCCTCTCGTGTCTACAATGAAGGATGGGATAAAGAACTAAACCATTCTAGTTTCATTGGAAAATCCTCCATTACCTGATCACACTAGGCTGTTCCTTGTTGTCATCTTGACTTGCATGGCATGTTGTCCAGCCTTTCCTTTTGTGCCCGCTCACCATCATCCCACACATAACTTGTCTAGCTTCAGCCAAGCAGTCACTGCTTGCAAGCTCAGGGGGCCTCTGCCTGGATGTCAACTTGCATTTTAGTGGCAAGGGCAGAATGAGTTGCTTCTCATTCTTGATAAAGAATTTATCTTAATTTCTCTGTTATCTAATGATATTACAAGGTCAAAGTCAGCATTAGCTTTTCAGAATCAAGTCTAACAATTAAACAGCCTGCACTTCAGTTGGCTAGGAAAAGAGGAGTAGTTCTCATTAAACAGCTCTCCACCTGTCATATCTCTTCTCTTCAGATGTTTTCTTACTTGAGGCAGGACCTGTCTAGTCAGTGCCTAACAGAATGAAGGTGGTCAGCCAGCTCAGAACCTGTCACATCTGCCCAAAACATACTGTATAAATATTTAACTTTCCAAATGTTCCACTTACTGTTGGACATACAGCTACGACAAAAAGCCTCACTGTAAAGTGTGACTTGGCAGAACTGTTTAAGGTGGGTGAATAGAGAGTACTCACTTGAATAGAGCAGGCCCAAACACAATGGAGAGGTTTTCCAGAGTCATGAAATTCACTTCACTGTGCGTTGCTATCTTTAACAGGAAAGCAGACAGGAACTGAAGAAGGTTTTGATGGGCTTCGGGCAGGCAGCTGAGCAACTGTTTCATGTTCTCTATGCATTCTGTTGTGTTGATTTTGTGCTCTGGTGGGGGGGGAAAAAAAATTATGACAGGCATTCCTAATATCAACACAATTTCATCATAGATATTACTATAGATTTGAGAAAGAGAGACATTTTAAAATATATTAGAGCAAAGTGAAGAATAAATATGTCCCAAACAAATAATTTGTACTCCAAAGTTTGACAGCAGTTTTCACAAATGAATATTTAAGTACCATGGATTTTCCAGATACTGAGTTTTACATTCGCTGTTTCTGCTACTCTTCCTGTTATGACAGAATTATCCAGCACTTGCTGCTTTCTTAATGGAATTGCAGGCAGTAGTCATGTACCTGAACCCTTAAAGCTGCCTTTAAAGATGATATAAGGTTGTCAGCCTTAACTTTCCCGAGAGATTTTACACATGCTGCATGATTCTCATTAAGGGAAATAAAAAATTGTACCCTTTCAGCCCCACATCATCTTCATTTCCTGACTAATTGGTAGCTCTCAGACTCCA